TTCACTGAGTTACGCAAGCCCCTTCGCCACGACAAGGCAGTGATCCATGAAGGGGTTTCCTCCTGATAGCATGTGGCTATTATTTTTATTTGTGTATGTCTGTATATATGTGTGTGTGTGTATGTATATATATGTATGTTTATGTATATGTATCATATATATATGTGTGGCTATATGGTGCTCGGCTTTGCCAATCCCTTCCATGTATTTCCTTAAATAAACCTTTTTTTTTCCTGTTAAAATTATAAATGTGCTTCACTAATCTTTGCTCAGTCTAGGTTCCCACTCTCAGGAACATTCTTTTACAAACACAAATTTGCTTTTTTGACAACAAACACCCAAGCATTTCATACTTTCATAGCTTATGGTTTGTTTCCAATGCTGCTTTGCTACATTTTCTAAGGGATGAATAGTGTAAAACTATTTAAACTACAGTAATGGATAGTAGTGCTAATTTTTATCTCCAGACTACTCTGAAACATGACAGATAATCAGCTGGAGTTTCACTTCTGTTATACTACTTCAAGTTAATGTTAAGGATAAATTTATTTTCTGAAATCATTACCCTGAAGTTACAGTAGTGTTGATACTATGGCCATGTTCCTTTTCTTTTAAAAATTTTTTTAAGTTGCATTTATCTTTTATTAGTGGCATGCATATTATTGTTTCTTTCCATCAGAACTTAGTAAATTCCTGAGGAAGTTCTAGGTAAATAGCATACATACCTATTATACACTAATTACTCTTGACATTTATTGCAATCTGTTCATATGTTAGTCTGGGAAAGAAGTATTGTAGAGTTGTGGTAAAAAAATTTTTGTAAATTTTTATCATTTGTTTAAGTAGCTAAATTTAGTGAATTGCTGAATAGTATATAACAATTTATAGAATCATTAATTATGCAGCTAGGCATAATTTTGTTTCTTGAAATGTTTGGAAGTATTAATTCAGTTGTACATATGAATAACTGAATCCAAGGCTTAATTCACAATGCTGCTTCTATTTGGACTTTTTTCATTAAAAATATTATAATCTTTATCTGTTTCTATCTCTTCTATATTTCTGTAGTTTTTTAAATCTTTGTAAAATCTTCTTTTAATAAAAATTATTTTAAAACAGTTTAGTTATAGCTTTGTGGTCCATGATGTGCTGCATTTACAAATATACAGACAGATCACAGTGACAATACAGAGTTAAACAGCAAATCATACAGCTTATGTCATATAGGCAAAAAGATAAATTGGATTACAAGTAATAAATGTGAAGAAAAGCTAAAATGAACATGCAGAGCTGGATTGTGATACTCTATCAGTGCCATTAATATTTTTGCACTACTACTGTTATACTTTGTAGTACCATTATCTATCACCTGCTAGATAGAGACAGATTCTGCTATATATTCCAATACATGTATTACTTAATGACCACAATCGGGACCATAAAATTGGTCATTAAGTGGGGCAGTCATTAAGTGAGTCACCATGTGACCAGACCCAATTCTACAACCATTTTACAACAGTCATTAAGCGAATCATCGCAGTCATTAAGCGAATCATGTGGTTGTTAAGCGAATCATGTGGTCATTAAATAAATCCAGCTGTTCCAATGGATGCTTTTTGCCGGAATTCACTTAATAACCATGTGATTCACTTAATGACTGTGGTGATTCGATTAACAACTATCATAAAAAGGTCTCAAATCACGATCACGTGACCACGGGGCATGGTGCAACTGTTTGCGATGGTCATAAGTATGAGTACAGGTTGTAAAGCACTTTTTCCAAGGCGTCGTAACTTCGAACTGTTGTTAAATGAACAGCAGTTAAGCAAGGACTACCTGCATGGGCAAATGCCCCCACATCACTAGCTCTTGGTGACCTTTAGAAATTAAAGGTTCTCTTTAAGATGTCTTCCACATGAATAATAATTATTTGCTTTATTTCTGTTTTCATATTTGCACAATGGAATACAGATTGTTTGAAAAGTATTATCAGTGCAGTAACACTGACATAGTAATAAATGCATAAGTATCCAGAATGCAAAACTTTTATGCTTAGTGTGCAGATACTTTTCAGGCATAATCAAAATTGTAAAGTATTTGATAAGTTTTTGAATTTTCTTTCTCACTGGTACAGTCCTTCTGCTATGCCAGCTAAAAAATTGTTTTGGTATTCAGCACGTGTTCAGGTTTCACAGCCTCATTTTCTGGAATGTTGTTTGTTTTCATTTTGCATTAAGTTTCTTTGTAAACAGCACAATATGTATTTTAACGAGTTTCATAAAGATGTAATTGCTAAATAAATAATTTTATACATGCAATGAAAATGAACTAACAACTATAATAGACTCAGTTTGGAAGATACTTCCCCAATATCTTTTTTTCATACTGTAGGGAAGTGATGTCTTGCCTGCTTTCCATGACTGTACCCCATGACCTTAACTCTGTGATCACTAGATGGTTGTGAATAGGTATAGCATTTGAACGAATATGCATGAAATATATGTAAAACCTAGGGCTGTGTGGAGATTTGATTCAAACACAATATGGTAAGATCTCCCCTTTGAATCAAATTGTTTTCAAATTATTTGGTGATTTGGTGAATTTTTGCACATATTGTTTATGAATAAACAAGTCATCAGAGCAATGATTTTTATTAAATCAAGTTAAAAAAAAATTAGGCCTTGGGTGACTTGCATACTGCTAATATAGCTGAAACAGTACAATCATTAACTCAGATAAAATCTGAGACTGGACCACCATAATGTATGTAGGGAAATTTCTCTTCAAAAGGTCCAGATATTGAAAGGCTAAAAGAAAATTAGATGACCTGTCCATTCAGGTATTGGGTGGAAACAACTGAAGCCTGGAAAAAATCAAATGCTGGTGTTATCAATAAAACCCAACTCAGGTCTTCAGAAGCAGCAAAGTATTTATTAACATTTTTGCAAAAACGGGTGCGCACACATTAGCATGAGGTGGACCCAGATCTTAGCAATTGGTCTTCCTTATATTCCCTATCACAGACGCGAAAAGCCCTCCTCCGGTTCCCCATTGGTCAGGTACTAGGGATTTTAAAACCTATCCGATACGCCTAATACAATTTCCGGAAGTCCCGCCTTAGTTTACATCTCCCATTACT